ATAGCCAACACTTCACGGGGTTTCTCGGGAACCTGATTGCCGTCCCCGGCATTCACAGGAGATGATGGATGGTCCACCTTTTGAAGAAAGGCTAAGAAAGAGAGCTCTAGAGATTTTCATTCTAAATTTGCAACAATTTGTCAGGTAGGTATGAGAAGCAAGGAAGACGAGATTGCATTTGAGCCAGGGAGTCGTATTTGGCTCACTGGGAGAGCTTCACATCAATGTGAAGGGTGGGTGTTTTTTTTCGGGATGTGAGTGAAGATTTTACCCGCTTCTGGCGTAATATAAATTACCCTCCTCTTCTCCTAGGTCAAGATTTTTTTGAGCCACTGCAGGTACGTTATTGTTCGCTGCAGATGCTGTGCGTGTCAGGGAGGGTGGATTTGGCGTGGCGCAATCCCGTTTTCAACCAGTTGTTATCCCTTGCCCTCCATAACCGTAGGTGAAGTACAGGTCTCATATGCTCCGTCCGCAGTGAACAAGACTGTGAGAGGGTGCGTGAAATCGGCTTTTGTCTTCGAAGGAAATAGTGCTCGGGAAAAAGCGTAGGGAGACGTATGGTGCGACCAGTTGCTATTATCGTTGCCACATTTTCTGACTTGAGAAACTCTATCTGCTCGGTTTCCCCTGCAATTGAATTTCCTTTCCATTTTCATTTCTGTAGAATCCTTCCATTTTTCAGGGTCATTTCAGAAATGATGCTTGGAGGTTTTCCAATCACCTTCACCGCTGGTCGTATGGAAAGGGAACGAAAACCAAAATGTGCTCGTTGCCGTAATCATGGTATCGTTTCGTGGCTCAAAGGACATAAACGCCACTGCCGATTTAAGTGAGTAAGCTGATGATCCAGAAGATTTGGTGCGACTACCGTAGCTGACAAGGGGCTTGTGACTCATCGGTTGCAGGTGCACGGGTGCAAATAGCGCTACGTAGTGCGCCTTGGGCTCCCCGATTTGCGAGAATTGTTGAGCCCGAAAGTGTTCTTGCAATTCAATTCAAGCAGAGATGGTCAAAGATAGCAATTAGTAAAACCATGATGCAGATGGGAGCAATAACTGATTGTGTTACTTGCTGCGCATTGCTCTCAGGATTGAACCCTGCCCGCGCCAATAGGGCTCGCCGTCAATTGAAGGTGGGTGTTAAAGATAACTCATCGAGAGGAAGGGGGGGGGGGTCGTGTTTAGGCGCTTGGATAGGGGTGTCATTGCTATGAGTTTTCTTTGACAAGAAGCTGTGGGAAACTTTTGGATAAATTTAGATATTTTTTATTAATTTCACGGCTTTTTGCCCTTATCCGGTCACCTATGGACCGGAATCCCAACAACAGTTGAAAACGAAGAGCGGTCAGCGCCGTGGTTTTCAGCCGAGCGAAGAGATTGAAAAAGGGTCACAGCGCCAAGCGCGAAAGGATGTCACGCTGAAGAGACACAATTTCAATTGGCATCATAGCAAAACGCTTCTCAGCCAGGGCGTTGCCTTTGCGTTGAGAATCAACGTTTGCCGTTGTAGACGTTCCTTGTTGTGTTCTGTGTTTAAATATACCTGTACCCCCTGCTGCGAAGGTTGTTTCTGAAAAAAAGTGAAAGAACACTGTGAAGAACGGTCCTGGAAAGGTGGGTTGGATTCTTGCCGAACGAGTGGATTTAGTTTGAGCCGTCCAAAATTTTTAACTATTTCGAAGAACTAACAACAAGTGGCCACCCCGATTTAAGAGAAGGTCGATCCTGGTCGGTTAGATACTGAAAAATGTGGAAGGGGGGGCTACCAAAGAAGGAAATTCTGCAGGGGGGAGGGGGTCGTGAACTTACCAACGGCAGGACGTGCCCTGATCAAAGTGTTTTCAAGTTTCCAGAGGACCTAAGAGGTGAGTGAGAAATTGGGCCGATAACCGCCCAATTGCCCCTAGGACTGGAAAAGGAAAAGGTGTGTGCATGGCGCATAGGGCAATGATGACCTATTCTTTATTATACTTTAGGCCTAGTTCCCACATTTCTCAAGCTGTATTTTTCGCTTTGAAGGTGTCAATTTTCCCACCACGGCTTCTTGTTTGCGCAGTATCCGTTGTGCATGCCTCGTTGTGTGTGTCTGTTGGTTAGAGTTGCGAGATACGGTAATCGTTTGTGATGTGTGTGTGTAAATAGAATCATCGAGCGACAATCCGACCAATTGATGGACACTCAAGGTGGTAAGACCCCGTTAAGCTTGTGGTGGGACCCGCAAACAAAACCGCGATGGAGAAAAGTACGCGAGCACGGCTGACTGCAATCGCTAACGCAACCCCCTTCAAGTACCATTGATGGTCGTGGAGCCTCATGATCGGTCAACATCGCATCTGAGGTCATTCACAACAACAACGAAGACTTTCTCAGCCTTCTAAGGGTGGTCACAAAGAGTGGTACGAGGGGATGCTGTTCTCTTTGACCGGTTAAGTCTGGAATGCGCCGTGCTTCCAACATCCATAAGGATTCGTGAAGGTTTTGAAATGCACTTCTCCCGCATAACAACTCGCCTGGTTAAAGAGGCGAGTAAAGGCGCAAAATGTCCCCTTCACCCATCCCTACCCCCCCCCTCCCCGAACCGCCCAGTTCTCGAGAGCCGGCAATAAACTCAACGGCTCCAGGCAACACTGGGTAACCGGCAAGATGAAAGATTCTGTTGCTGTGGCTGAGATAGCCCAGCCTATTGAGCTTCCAGCCACAGCATCCGCTAAAGTGTATGCCTGCCTATCCAGGCACGTCATCGTTGGGAAATCCTCACCGGGAAAGGTATGAGAATCAGTGACTCGTTATTGGGAAGGGGAGAAGGGGTACTGAAGAAGATGCTGCTTCTCGCTATAGTGCCGCCTGACGCCCATAACCAACGTCTCACCTCCACCAGCGTAAAGAAGGGTGCGATGAACCTGACAAAAGACTGAACTTATAAACATACACAGGTGAAACGCCCAACCCCCTTTAGCGTCATCACTCGTTTCTAGAAAGATTATGAATGTATCAATTTCCAGAGAATGTGCATGCGAGAAATGCAATCTAATAGCTGAACGTCAACGAGTGATGGCCGCACAGGTGGCACTGAAACGGAAACAAGCAACTGAAGACGCAATTGCACTAGGATTACGGTATCGACTTTCGTTTATTTGCTAGAGCACAAATATTCAGGGCGATGTTGCAAAGTGTTCTTTAATGTTGCTATTCTTATCCTACCTAACACACCAGGCGAGGAGAGAGAGCGGAGCCCCCAGTCAGCGGGACTGAGCTAACAAGGGAAGGATGCTAGGACGAATGGCCTTTTGAAATGAGATGTATACCGACTGGAGGGTCTTTGGGGGGGGTCACAAAACCGTCTCCCTGCTGCGGGCCTCCCAGAGCGAAGTTATGGAGCCTTTCTAGGGGTGCATACTTACATTTAGTACAATTAGCGGCGTAAGGACTCCCCGAAACAGCATGGCGTGTTCAAGTCGTAGGTCTCACGAACGAACGGCCGAAGGCTCGAATCCCGAAAGTGGCCCCGGGGGATGTGGGACGACTATCGCAATGATTTCAAATCTACGAGGTCAGAACGGGGAACTGGAAAGTTTCAAATACAAGCTAATTAGCTAGCTATTTAGTTAATCCAACTCAAAAGGGAATTCGAGTTTCATGCGTGATCTGTAAGTTTTCAGAGTGGTTGCCGGCCAGGTTATCGAGCGTCTTCCCCAAGGTCCTCTGTGGAATGCTAGCACTGACGATGATCAAGACATCGATGATCACGGTAAGTTTGGAAAGCGCTATCGTTCCTGGGCGCAAGTGAAATGGTTACCTTTATCTAGTCTGTCAGTACTTAGCTTTCGCCTACATAGAACCTCGAACGCTAGGTCTATGGCGATCTTATGGGCGGAGGACGTCCACCAGACTGTCTTCCTCATAGGTTGGGAAGAGAGTTTTTGCCCCAAAGATGGAGATGAGTAAGGAGGAACGAATGAGGGCATTGTGATAGGACTGGCTCCTCCCTCATCTTTGCCCATACGATAACAATGCTTACAACGGTCTAGGGTACCGTTCACAGAAACTGAATGGTCCCATATTCCACGCAAACCTGTGGTCTGGCAATTGTGCCTTCCGAAAGGGAGGAGTATAATGCGGCGCTTCATTTCAGTGGTGGGAAAGTGATCGAAACCTCACGTATGATGCGCAGTATCCGATCTAAAGGCAGATATCAACGAGGAGAAGATCTATAACACTCCTCAACCATGGTTTTAGGGTTTCCCCGCTTGTGACGCACAGCCATCTAG